CCAAAGACATCCGGACTAGGTTGATTGGTGACCCTAAATTGTCCTTAGGTGTGAGTGTTGTTTGTCTATGTGTGGCCCTGCGATGGTTTGGCGACCTGTCCAGGGTGTACCCCGCCTTTCATCCGATGTCAGCTGGGATTGGCTCCAGCCCCCCGCGACCCTGTACACAGGATAAGCGGTTGACGATGGAGGGATGGATGGTTCTGCCAACAAATTTTAAGTTTAATTCTTAAGCAACTTAAATTCCCCCTTTGTGTGTGTTTGTGTTTATTCATTTATAGTAATTTTCCCTCTTTTGCTTGTAAAACACAAATCATGTTTGCACTGAACATATCTCTAAAACCGAACCAATAAACACAAAAGTTCCCCGTGTCGTCTTTATACAGTATATAAGAACACAACAGGATCCCCTTAAAATTGCATTTCCCTCCCGTTAGACAGTTCCATAGTCTTGCTTGAAGTCAAGGCAACAACATTTTAAGTGTTTAGCTGCTTTAGCGATTACAAACTAATGTGTTACATAAGCAGCAAATTCAACACTTGTGCAGACTGCACTGCATTGCGAGCAGTGTGCAAACCCATGAGAGACTGAGGATGTATAAAGCTTCACTATGTAACTGTAGTGTTAGTATTACTCCTGTCTTATCTAATTCACTCACTGGGGATTTAGAAGAGTGAATCTTGGACTCACAACATGCAAATGAAATTCTGGTGTCAGGAATGTAATACTGCTCCACAGGAAAGGAAGAAAGGAAGACTGAGAAATCTAGAGAATACTTATTTTGACCATATTAAGAAAGGCCAGTTTAGTAAATATGAATGTGTTCATATGTCATGAATTGAACTGGCATCACCTCGCATGATTTCTCGGTGTTTCAGTTTAGGGACCTTTTGGACTGTGTGATGTTTACTATACTTCATGCATTACCACTTACCTTGTTCCTCTGCTGAATTATGGACCACTTCATGCCCTTGTGTATCTGTTTATGGATTATTGTGTTTGTGAATTTCAAGGTAAAGCATTACAGAGGCTCCGGCCATGACCTCATTCTCTAACACAGCATAGCTGCAGTCGAAAAGCACTCAGGATTGAGTAGAAAGACAAATGACAGCACCTGCCATTTGTCTCCACAGCACAGCGTTAATTTTGCAAATGAAGGGATTAGGAGGCTTGAGTACAACATCCCTGAGCAGCGAGTTGATGAGTCACATGGTTTATTTAATAGGTGAGCTGCCATCTGCTAAGGGAGAATTGGTGGGCAAGAGCATAGTCTTTATTGAGATTACTTTGATTATATTGCCTCTTAAGGAAAGCCTAGCTCTTCTCACCTACTGAGTCATGGTGTTTTATATAATTTAGGCAGAGATGGCCATCACTTAGGCCTAGAAGGATGTTTATTTTCAACAGATTCATTGGTTAAAGAAATAGTCAGGGAAAATAATGTGACCTCCCTGATATCAATTCCATTAGACACTTCTGTATGGAACCTATCAACCAGAGTTGCTGGATAGCACTGTCTGAACGGTCAGCTACATTAACACTGGAGCTCATCACTGTAGCTTCAGCAAAATACTAGCCTTTTCAAAAAGTTACTGGGAAGCCATTGAATGGCATTCAGAAGAAAAGCTTAACCATTTTCTCAAATGATTTTGGATTCCTTATGCTGGAATGAGGGCAAGATTGTTCATTAAAAGATTCCAAAAAAAGTGCTGCTCACTGCTGTGCCCAGTTTTTCCTTTTGTTTTATGTGAATATGATTGGCAAAATTATCCTGTGGGTATTTTTCATGTTTCTGTGCAGATTGCTACCCAGCAACTGCCAAGAAGTTATGGGTACGTGTGGAGATATCCTGGCCTAACAATTATTTAACCACTTAACACCCAACCCCCTTTTGGATACTGGTCCACCTAAATTAAAACAAATTGACTTTTTTTTTTATTGTTAGACCCTTGCGATAAATTTGGACATCAAGTTTGCACAGATTTGTTACATTGTGAGACCAACAGACTGCCCTAGAGATAGGGAGATACCATATTTACGATAGCGGCATGCTTACTATGTGCTCAAGGCACTGCTAAGTTCAGCCTCACAGCCTCTATTATCTTTTAGTGTACATTATTGCTTGTACCTGTGAAGATCTGTGTACCGCTTTAAAATTGTCAGGTCTAATACAATTTCTTTAACCCCCACCCACCTTTGGTTGATGTATTGTAATAACTTGAATAAAATGCCATGAAACTTTGTACCTACGTTCATGGTGCCCAGAGGATGAATCCTAATAACTTTGGTGAGTCCATTGACTTTTAATCTACCTTCAGGTTGACATTTGTGGTTTTAAGTGAAGTGTCTCAACATACATTTGTCCCCCTTCAAGTTGAACTGCAAGAAACTTGGCAATCCTTTAACTCTTCAACTTGTGCCATTTTCAGGTCACTGGCCAACCCATCAGTTTGTGACCATCAGCCTCAGCTGTACTTTGTGTTTAATGCTAATTTGACAATTTTAGCATGCTAAAATGCTGAACTAAGATGGTCCATCCATCCATCGTCAACTGCTTATCCTGCGTACAATCCCAGCTGACATCAGGCGACGTAATCATGGTTAACATTACACTTGCTTAGCATCAGCATTGTCCTTGAGCATGTTGGCATCATGGATGTGGTTAGCATGTTGAAGTTAGCATTTAGCCAAGAGCACCACTGTAATGCCTCACAGAGCACATGACTGATGACTCCTAGAATTGCTTATTGTTTACTTCAGACAAATTCAGGGCCACTGTTCAACATTACTACACATTGCATATTTATGTTTCACATATATACACTCTGTGCATTGTACTATAGATATATATTTTTTCTTTTAGACCATTATGAGGAAAATATGGGTCTAACCTAACTAATACACATATTACATGTTCATATTTGACTTTTCAAATTATTAGCAGGCTTTGAAAGTTCTACATATTGTTAATGTCCTGCAGGCGGAACAGTGGCTGGTAAAAGGTTAACAGATTATGTGCATAATTAAATGATTAAGTTCTGCTTCCTTTAGAAGGCCAGGTATCATTCTATTAATGAGATATTTGCTGAGGACAGAATGCCAAACCTCTGTAATAAAGCTGATATTCAGTAATAAAAATGTTCTGTCTTTAGCTTAACATATTGAGGCCAAAGTTCAAGGTCATTCAGGTTCAGCAGCCCTGGAGCTGGTGGCAGAGGCAGGGTGGAAATAAAATACAGTGCACCTTGTAAAAAAGGAATCTTGTTCAATATTCAATGTCAGACAACTAAAGACGGTCTGTAGTCTCCTCACAAAGGCACAGTCTGTGTGATCAAACTAAATCAGAATATTGAAATTCAGTGGCCTAGGTACCAGCTGAGAGGTGTGGGCATTGAGGTGTGCTCAACATTCAAAGCCGTGTTTAATTGGCGTCCTTGGTTTTGCCAAAAAAGCAATCTAGTTCACAGCTGCAGTTTGTTATGTGGTCCTAACTGATTGCCTGGAGCTGACATTTGAGATGCATACAGCACAGCTTGAAGCCCATTTTGAAAGGCAAAATACAACTCCTACGCAAGAGAACTGGATAAAAATTTACTGTGGCAACAAGATGAGCCTTATTGGATAGTTTTCCACTGGAGGCTTGACCTAAATCTGACTGATAAACGAGACTTGTGCCATAGCTGATACAACAAAAAAGACATCATCCCTTTGTTAATCTTCCCATTGGTTTTATCAGCATTACATAATATTTGCAAGAAACAATTGCAAGAGATTTTTATTGCAATAGCTGATAGTAGTCATTAGCTGCCAGCCTTTCGGCTTGTAGTTACTCAAAGCAATGGGATTAGAAAGAAAAAAAAAAAAAAAACAATGTTTGCTGGTCATTGCCAACAGCATTGAGTAAGCAGCAAACCAAACACAGCTTGTCTCTTGAACTTATCAGCTGTGATTTTTACAATCTGTAAATATACAAACTAAACACAAATGAAAGTCTAGTAATGGTTTAGATACTTTATTCCACTACAATCAGTGTTTAAAATTGTAACATGTGTAAGCACTGTTCTGAGTGGATATACTATCTTTGTTGCCCCCACTCTGAAAAGCATTCCAATCAGGCTTAAACAACACATTTGTTATTTAGTGGCCACCATAGATGATGTGTCTTGAATATCCACATGCCTCGACACACTAATTATCTTCACTGAACATATATTATTACACAATGCTATAGTAACAATTTATATAGTTAAGTTTTAAAACATTTTTTTTCCCCCCCTTATTCATTTTATCCAAAGTAACTTACAATTGACCCTTCGCTAAGCCAGCCTCCTTTGGTGACTGTTGCTAAGTCCGATCACAGAGTAAAAGTGAACCATTGTATTATTGACTATTGAGAGAGACAATATTAAGGATCAACACTGCTCCTGTACTGCTGGGCAGGTCTATATTCACTATTACAATCATTAAAGAACAGTAGGGCTTTACACTGTTACATTCAGTAGTAAGTTAGCTAACGTAAGCTAACTAACATTACACAGCCTACATTTTTCTGGATATGTTTCAGGTTTTGGAAAGAATAAATCGGGCTTCTCCTTTCAACCTCTCTGGGTAGAGACTGTAATTACTACAAGTGCCCCAGGAACAGCGTTTGACCACATCTTACAAAAATACAGCAAAAAAAAAAATAGCTCCATCAATGGAGCGCAGCCATGAAACTGTCGGACATCAGTTAGAGCAAGTCCTATAGGCTACTGCGCTGCAATTGGCCAGCTGCTTTTTTGGTGCATGGCTTAGCGAAGGGTCAATTGCTAGGAGTTTTTAACCAAGTGGATGATGAGATGATTGAAGCCACGCCCATTCAAACGTGTAGCAAGACTAGGGTGCGATTCTGTATTTAAATAAGTTGCCAACAACGCCACCTGGGGAATTTCACCCCAGGAAATAATATTAAGAGATAGGTCACACAGGTTCACCTGAAATAAGGTGAGGGCAGAGAGTGTTTCACATTTAAACAAATTGTTTTATTAACTAACAAAGTACTAATTAAAGACTAAAGAACCAAACCAAAAGTAATTTAACAGAACAAACAAATACCAACTATGTATACCACTTAAGGAGGCATGCCATTATTGAGTAAAATAGAAGTATGGGCCTAATAATTAAAAATACAATATCCTATTTAAAATACAGTGGCAAAAAAGGATAAATAAAACACCAGAAATAAATCAAAACATGCAAATCAATTAATTCACACACTCTAAATATTCTATAACTAGACCCAAACAACAAAGAAATGCTAAGACCCGCAAGCCGCTTAGAGCCAAGACAGAGCTGGAACTGACCAGGCAGACGGACCAAGCCGCCGTTCAAACCCCCCGACGAGGCAGTAGTGCAGCAGATCACTGGAGGGAGGGGAAGATTTGGCACCAATAATATTTCGCATGGTATATATTCAATTAAATTGGATACAATACGAGGGACATGCATACATACCCCCACTGTTCCACAGCACACACACATAATCAGCCCACAGGCAAGAGCGAGACAGCCCGCACAGCAAACGATTCTCTCTAAAACAATCAAGGGAGCATTGTGTTTAACCGCGCACACAGCAGACAGTTACATCGGCATGCAAGCCGACAGCACACTTACCACACGGACCGGGAGCAATGTCGCGTGCACATACAGAACGCCGGCCAGGTGACTCCACAGGTTTAGAGCCGTTAACCACCAGCTAAACTGTTGCGCTACAGGCTGTGACAGCACTCGCATCAGCACACCGCAACGCCGGACCACCGTCGCCAACAGTCGAGAGGCCCAACCCAGGTGAGAGAGAGAGATACAGGTGCATCATCACCTGCTCTTATAGGCCACGGCAGCGGCATCCGGTTGTCAGGGCACCAGTGCAGTGCCATATAGTGGCGGGAGGGAGAAAAACCCTCAACCTGCCACATAGGCACCAAGGGAGAGAGGGAAACCAGGGAAAACACAATGCAGATCTGGCTGTGGCAGCTGTTAGTCAATTAAACAATCAGTCAATCAAAAGAAAATTAATTGCCAACTATTTTGATAACTTATTTATCGCTTAATTGTAATTTTTCAACTGAAAATGCCACAAGTGTGCAGGTTCCAGCTTCTTGTTTGTATCATATAGCAAATTTGATATTTTTGGGTTTGGACTATTATAGGTCTTCCATGAGGAAATCCTCCAAATAAAAACTGAGGGAAAAGTGTGAGAAACTACTAAATTCAGAGCGTACTCTTTGTAGAAAGAGGAGTTAGAGAGCACTGATTTTATTGTGCATTAGATGGTGGGACCAAACAACAAAATGGATGACAGTGAGATAATGTTCATTTTAAGGTTTCGAAAAAAAAGAAGAAAACAATAAGCAATAAGCAATAATAAAATTTCACTCCATGGAATATTTCCTGGATGTGGGTATCAAATCTATTTCATGCAGGTAAATGTAGCTGCCTGCTACACTAATCACTCTCTGTTTGTGGCCTGATGGTGCCGCTTCTGTTTTTTTGTAGTAAAACGATAGCAGCTCCAGGCAGTACTGATGGGCTGTTATTCCTTCTCACAGTGTCATTGGCAAATAGCTCTCTGTCTTCCACGGTGCTTGTGTGAATGAATGAAAAGTAGCCTGCCTGCCCACCTGTCGAGGCATCATCACCTTCCCATAACCTCAAGGTCACTTGATGGAAAGAAAAGTGACCTCCTTTTTAATAATGCCTGACCAGATTGCAGAAAAACAACACAGAGCTCAAAGCATGAGTTATATCACCACTGTATGACCCACCAAGTCTCTCTCTAGATTCATGAATTATGCATTTACAGATTTCGTTGAGTGTATTCAACAACTGAATGTGCATATTTAATACGTACAAGGGAAATGAAACATCTGGTAGAAATGGAGGAAAGCCGAGCTGAGACTGTAACAATAACACATCCACTGTGGCCATAGCCCTGGCTGTAGCTATAGAGTTGTATCGTAGAATGAGCTATTTTGGGTGCCCCTGGTTCCAGAAGTAAAATTCCCTTTAATTTTTTCTGACAATGCTACTTGACTCACAGTGGGGGCACTTCTACTGCTTGATTGGCATGAAACTCTCCTGGTTGAATCATCAGGACAAAACCTAAGCAACTGTATTCGAAAATATGTGACTGAAAAAGTCAAAGGTTCAAGCTTCGATTAAGCTTAAGTTTTAGTGGCATCTAGTGGTGAGGGTTGTGAATTGCACTGTTGCGAAACCGCTGCCCCCTACCCTTTCAAAGAGTGTAGGACTTTGAAAAATTCTGAACGACATTAAAAATGTCCTCTGCCTGGAGAGACTGGGGAAATGAAAAAGCATCCGTAGGTTGCTGGATGTGGATCAAAGACGAAAACACAAACAATGCAGCACATGCTGTAATGCAGAATCCATTTGTTGAAGAGAGAGAAAAAAGTTTTCCCAAGGTGAGATTAAACACATGCAATCCTCAGGGTGCAAGTCAAGCGCTTTACCAGCTGAAATAATGAAACACCATGTTACTGGCATTCAATATTATGCTTTGTATTCCCACCCACCATCTAATGGTTGAAAATATTGCTCCGATGCAAAACATATTTGCTGACCCCCCGCAGTATGTTATTACTAGGGCTGCAACTAATGATTATTTTAGTAGTCAACTTATCTGTTCATTATTTATTTGATTAGTCGACTAGTCATGATTATTTTTGTCACCCCCTAACCCTAATTAAACCACCCATCCATCGTCTACCGCTTATCCTGCGTACAGGGTCACGGGGGGCTGGAGCCAATCCCAGTGGACATCGGGCGAAAGGCAGGGTACACCCTAGATAGGTCGCCAGTCCATCGCAGGGCCACACATAGACAGATAACCAGTCACACTCACATCCACACCTAAGGACAATTTTGGAGACACCAATTAACCTAGCCTGCATGTCTTTTGGATGGTGGGAGGAAGCCGGAGCACCCAGAGAGAACCCACACGGACACGGGGAGGACATGCAAACTCACTTTACGTTACCTGGTCTGTGCTTGTAAAATATCCACCGTGACTTGTAACGTCATTTCAAGTTTTTAACCGAGTGAAGTCTGTGCGAGTGAACACACGCACCGACCCCGCTACACCCCCCCCCACCACCACCCCCCCACCCATGCCATCGTCCATCCCGATGCTTCAATGTAGTTTTGTAGACATCATCCCAACCCTACTGAACAGACTGTTTCTGCTGCTCCCTGATAAAAGATAGCTGATGCTGATACCTGTTCAGAAAAAAAAAAATAGAAAACTGGTAACTTGTTTTATTGCCCTGGCAGTGGCAAACAGCTTTGGTTTAATATTTGATTTGATTACATTAATGTTGAAGTTGAGATTTACAAGAAATATTTTATTGCTACTGTGTAAAGGGAATACTGCTGGTAAAAAAACACCTTATTTGTTTAAAGTGTTTGCAAACCACATGTTATTGCACTTTTGTGTATATAGCAGTACATTTAAATTAAATTTGCTCACTACACTACTTTAGAATTCATTTTTCAATTTTGCGCGTAACAATGCGCTTAATCGCTTAATTGTTGCCCAGCAGTAGTTATGTTATAGGAAAAGTTAGGTCAGGATTCTGCAGGCAGAGAGAAACAAACATGAGCACATCGCTCTCAAACACTGCCAGGTTGTTCACCAGTCAAGTTAAGGAAAAGTTAGGTTGCGTTCTCACACCACAGGGCTAACGTTAACGCTGCTACGTGGCTGTGTTTTAATGTTTTAATGACTGGGTCCGTTTGTTTTGGAGAGGAGATTACCTCGGAGGTAATTCAGCTCCCGGTAGAACCCTGTCAGGACACTGAAGTGGAGCGGATCCAGAACAACTCTCATCAGCTGTTAGCTGTAAACACTAGCAGGACTAAAGTTACGGTGCGGCTGTGTTAAAACTACAGCACAACATCACTGCGCTGTAATAACGTTATGATTTGTTAAATGTAACATAATTAACAAAATAGATAGATAATGTCAGTCCAGTGGCTGTTACCTGACAACCAGCTTGCCTCTCATTCTCCGGCGCTGCCAGTAACTCAGCCTGTGTCATGAGCCTGCCCTGAGCTTGTCTGGGTTATATTATTTTCGCCATGCCTTCTCTGTGTTTTGATTTTGGTTTCTCTGTGTCTGGGTTTCAGTCCTGTCTGTCTGTGGTCTTGTATCCAGTATTCTGCTTGTTCTGTGTGGTGGTTGTGATCTGTCCTGTTATCTCTGTGTCAGCCTTAGTACTTGTTTAGTTCTGTTCCTGTCTCTCATGTGTTAGTTCTTCACCATTGTGCTTGGGTTCTGTCTGTTTGTAGGTGTCAATTTTTGTTTCATTATTAATCTATCTGATCATTCTGATTTAGTCTCTGTGTAGCCTTGTTTATTATTTTATTCATCCGCATCTTTAGTTATTCATATCTGTCTTGTCTCGTATCTTAGTTTCTAATCCTGTACCTTAGTTCATGTCTTAGTGTTCTTTAATGTCAACATTCATATAATGTTGATAGACATGTTTCTGGATTGTGAAGAAATTATCTGTAGCCTTTAGTGCTAAATGCTGGTCTGCTGCTCTGACAGAGATCACTGCTCTAACAGTGGACAGATGATGCAGCTGTGCAACAGGTCAGATTTAATTGACGCTGCTTTAAAAAGACGGCTCCGAGGAAAGGACATCTCATTTCGTTAAATGCCCGTTTCCTCGACTCCCCTCTCCTCGCGTCTCCTCCTCGACTCCTCGATCTTGCATCTCGGGTGGGAGGGAGTAAGATGCGCCGCGAGGAGTCGAGGATAGAGGATCGAGGAGTCAAGGAGGTGGAAATTTGGGAAATGAGAAAGGCCCTGCTGTCTCTCTGCCTGCCTGTCTCATTAGTCCTGATACCTGTCACCTGTGTTGCTCCCGCCCTGCTCATTAGCCCCTGTGTATAAATGTATACCTGGACTCAGCCACTCTGTTTGCAAGTGTGCTCGCCTTTTGTTTAATTAAACCGTTGAACTGAACCTGTCAGCTTTGTGTCCTACATTTGGGTCCTCCAATCTGCTCACCAAACCACGCATCCTGACAGCCTGCTGAATGAACGAAAGTGGTGAATGAATAGTTCATTCCTGCTCCACAGTAGCCGCCGAGATACCATGTGACAAATGAACGACTCAAATCCAGAGACCCACAGTTATGAGTCGTGTGTCGAAAGACAATAAGTAGGGATGTGATTTGTCTTTTTATTCTTGAAAAAGAAAAAAGGCAAGTGACTCTGTTGCTCCAAAGTGACAAACAATACTAATTTTCCAGCTCCATTCAGCACAGCCAGCATATGTAAATAGAATGTATAAGCGATAGGAATGAGGGATGGGGGTGCACCATTGAGGAACTGGAATGATGCCTTGTGGAGAAACAGAAGGCGACAATGCAGAGCTCAGAGGGATTTGGAAGGTCTTGAGCTCAGCAGCATTTTCAGAGATAACCAACCATGTGACTCGGTCACACATTGTAGATTCCTTATTGATCTCACTGCTCCTCTGCCAGAGTCAGAGCAAACCATTTCATTCAGCTTGCTGTCATATTAACACCCACACTTTTTACATGTATTTCTGGTCTGTATGTGTTTGCAACAGCCAGTCTGACAACATAATGGGGCAGCCAGAGTTTTAATTAGTCCATATTTATTAGCTGACTGGAGACCATAAGACGTGTGGTGTCCCCCTCTTGCCAGGAGGTGTTTGTGACCAGAGCTCCATGGCAGACAGAAGGAGTGGAGGATGGAGGGGCTAAGGAGCTTGCTCTGAGATTTCTGCC